ATACCACCCCAGTTTGAGGGTGTATCTTCCCTATTGATATTTCTCCATGAGTATGATTTTCCTACATCAGTGGGAGCAGTTTGTGTTCCCAGTTCCAGCTTATCTGAATCTGCCAAGACTAAACAAGTAGTCAACTGGCTTGTGTGGACTGGATCCAGCTGATTTTAATCTGATAGATTTAACATACTGGAAACTGATTTACAATGATCCAAGTGACTGAATTTGCCCAGAACTCTTTGACTTAGTTACCTCTTTCCTTGCAGGTCCTAAGCCTTTGTAACCAGGGCAGTCAGAACATTAGAAAGCCTGTGATCAGGAAGTAGAAGGAAATGGTACTCTGGAGCTATTTATTTCACATTTGTTTAGGGTTAGATTGTATGTTAAAGGTAGATTATTTTAAAATTCCTTAAGTGCTATAAAACATATGATTGTCATCGCACAAGCCTTCCACGCCTCCTGTAGCTTGCAAATTAGCTTGTCCTTATTGTGACTGGGCTTGTGGTGGTAAACATGAGACAACTTTCAAGTATGAATGCTTAGATGTGAAGCTCTCCTAGAATCACATTTCCAGGGGACTACAGTGATTTCACCTTCTAATGATCCGTAATATAATAATTTGACCATTAGAACTATTTCTAGTAAACGATGTTCTCATTCTGCTGCTGATATTTGCCCAGTCCAGGAACTATTGCACTGGAATCCATGCCTTCTATGCTAGAACTAATTCATAAGTTTCTGTTAGAACTAAATCACAGTGAATTTCCTCTATCTGTGAAGAGTCAATATCCTTCTCAATTACAGTCTTGTTCAGTCATTATTAAAGCATCCAAGGCACAATGAGAGGAATATATTAGCCCTTTATTATCTATTGTCAATGTCATTATGCAAAAATATATGTTTGAACAGAGGGGCTGTTTTTCTGGGTAGGCTCTACACATGCGTCAGAATCCAGGAGAATCAGGATTATGTCTCATGTGGGAATCCCATGTAGATAGTCTAGACTTCCTCTCTTCAACCAGTCATTTCTTCATGGTGAAAGTGACAGTGGTGGTGTGGGATTAGGGCAATGCTCTCATCAGTTTTATAGAGTACACATTTTAATAATGACTAAGACTAGGGTGAACACTTGGGATGTTGCAGAAGAAGGCAGTCAGGAGAGATGTTTGTTTACCAGGTCTTGTATAACAAGAAATCTCACAAGACATGGTGATGGTGCTCCGCATTCAGCCTCGTATATGATACAACAGATTCTTGCAAATGTGTCTGTTTGACAGAGATGATTTTCGATGAATATATAGAAATATAGTAGTTTAAATGAGGCTATACATACGTACATAGAACTGTAGATCCTTCCATCAGCATAGCTAACTGAAGAAAACAGCTGCAACCATTCAGGTGAGCACATGCTTTCCAACAGTTCCTAAGTTCAGTGCCCATTAATTTCAATATAACACTAGATAACACTCGTTCATGTGTTAGTAATCTCAAAGATTGACTACTGCCACTCTATGTGGGGCTACCCTTGAAGGCGGTATGGAAGCTGCAACAGGTTCAAAATGCACCGGCCAGACGGGTCTCGGATATCTCAAGATATGATCATATCTCCTCTGTCCTGGTTCATTTGCACTGGTTGACTGTATATTTCCATGCCAAATTCAAGGTATTAATGTTGACATATAGGGCTCTTAACAGTTTGGAACCTTGTTGTTTGTCAGAAAACCTCTGCCTGAGATTCTCCAGCCATACTACCCACTCCTACCAGGCTTTAATGCTGAAGGTAGCCAACCAATGGGAGGCCTGGAGGTTTATCACCAGGAATCAGGCCTCCTCGGTAGCAGTCACCACCTTATAGAAAGTGCTGCTGGTGGAGATGTGCCAGGCCCCTTCCCTTCCAGCATTCCAAACTCTAATAAAAACACAACTCTTCAGAGAAGCTTCTCAAGATCTCCTTCCCTCGTAACAGTTTATGTATATGTTATATTTTGATTCCGTTGTTTGACCATCATTACCATCTGAGGTTCCTTTGGGGGATTGCTTTTAGATGATTTATAGATGGGCAGGTGGGTTGGGCATTGATGTTTTATGTTTATATTTGCCGCCCAGAGTGGTCAATTGATCAGATGGACGGGATATAAATGCAATAAATAAAGAGCATGAAGACTATAAGTATTTGTCAGAATCTATGTAAGAAAGAATCTAAAGTAACAATTTATACAGCTGGGATGATACAAGATACCTGTATCAGCTGTAAAGGAAAAACAAGGATTGGCTGAGCCAAGAATAAAGCCAGCAGCACACATACTCTTGTGGCGGTGTGGTGACATGGTGACATGACGTAATTAAAGCCAGCAGCCTCAGCACACATACTCTTGTGGTGGTGTGGTGGTATGGTGACATGGTGACATGACGTGACGTTGTGGAGAGAATCTTGGAGAAGACGACTCTGACTGCTGGACTGATTTACAAGGACACCGAATCTGATTTATGCCTAAACTTTGTTGATATTACTGTGAGTGACCATTGGACTGAATGACGACAAAGCTGTATGTATGTATCCTGCAACAAATTTGATTTAATATAATTTTCTGCTATCAATACTGTCTCTTTGCTTGGTGACTTCATCAATCTGGGAAATTCTACTTATTAGCACCACCTGGCACGCTACAACTCTGTCACCAACCAACCAACCAACCAACCAACCAACCAGCAAGAGTAGTGGCCTGCCACTGGATGGGAAGTATAAAAATTCAATTAACAAATATTGGAATAGTCAGTCTGAAACAATGAACAGTTCTCAGCATGTAAAAGATGTATCCTTTCAGAAATGTTTTATTTCTTATCAGAGTATTCCAGTTGAGTGACATCAAAATATGCAGAAAACCAGTACACTCAATTAAAAATGTGTCTATTTGAAAAATGTGCACCCACTAGAGAATGTGACCAAATGCACCCATCAGGAAAATGTATAATA